ATTAAAAGCTGACTTCTCATATTTTGATATAACAGTAACTTATATCTCCCAAACAGAGACAACTTAATCCTAATTACTGACCTGGAAGTATTTCATATTTAGGCTTATTAAAAAAAAAAAAAAAAAAAAAAACAGGATGCGCAAGAATATAAATTGTATTTTATACCACTGAACTGGAATAGATAAACCTGGGGCTCTTCTATTATTTTGGACTTTAATTTCACAATTCCTTGCTACTAACCTGCTAGCTGAATTGATGACTAATATATCTGTTATAGAAAGCTGCTTCTCCTTGGCATAGGCATCATCCAATCACAGATTACGCAGGCAATTTAACAGTCTCTAGCTCCTACTTCCCTTAATACCTGTGCAGCGTGTAATGGGACTTCATTTTAACTAAACTGAGGATATGTATGGGATGTAAAACAGTTCACTGGCATAGCAGTAAGTGAATGCTTTTCATTATTCAAGCAATTACTATTGGAAAAGAGGAAATAAAGATAGGAAAACCTGTCTCTGCTCCATCTATTATTTAACTTTGGGTGAATATTACTACGCACGTGAGACAGATTTAGCACATCCTAGGTCAAGCCGCGCTACAAGAGGTATGGATTCCTAACGTTTGGACTGATCACTTAGCCAGGCTGCAGGATTCAAGAGATCACATCCAACCGATCACTCTGACTCGGAGAAAGGAAGGTTACCAAGCAGAGCCGTCTCCATTTAGCGCTCGGGGAACAGCAACTTACGGGTAGGGGCATTAGCGTTCCCGCCAGTTGGAGCGGCTTCCCCTTTACGCCGTTTTTTGCCTCGGCGACTCGGAGTCGATGCTGGCGAGGACATGACTGGGCGAATCCTAAAGGAAAGAGGAAGGGAAAGCACAGCTAACGAGGAGCATCGTACTAAAAGGCAGCAAGAATCAGTTGCAGTCCACAGACCTGCTCCGTTAGCCGCACCCCAAGCCCATCGCGCGACCTTTGTACAAACCAGCCCAATCCTCTTCGCGCGGCTCGAACTTTCGGTCCCTTTTCCCCAAAGCAGCTTGTCGTAAAGAAAAATTCCGCGCCAAATGCGATCAGGTGACCGCGCGTTTTCGCGGGCTTTCCTACCAATTGCAAAGCGGAAGAAACCACGTCTGCAGGAAAGGGGGGTAGCTAATAACCTCATCCCTCTTACGAGCTTAATATTTGAAGTGGTGTCTCTGTGTGTGGTGCATGAAACAATGAAAGGACATTTGTCGGCTTGGTGCAAGGGGCTGCTGACCAAATCATAAGCTCCCGTACGCTTCCAAGTACTTTTCTTCTATGTTAAGTTCCCTCTATATCCAAATAGTACCGCCCATATCTCAGAGAGTCTCCCGGCTATTCAGATGAGGAATAGCCAATTAATTTGAAGGGGGGGTGTCTTACGTTATAGGCTAATTCAGTATCCCGACGGATGTTTGGAGCAAGCGAGTAAGAGTGTCGCTTTTCCGCGTCCCCTAATCTTAGCCCGGATTCTCCCCCGCTTCCAGGCGGCAATGGTTTAACCTAGCAATAATATGCTCGCTGCTTCCTTTTGCTAGAGCCAATCCCGTGATGCTTCCTTCCTCCTGAGTGGGTTGGTTTCTTCCTTGGGCGTTTCTATTTCGCTCCTCCCCCGTCGGGTTTGGTTTGGCCCATTCCGACCCACTTCCCGCCTGCCCCGGGGCCTGCTCTTGCAGAGGCGGGCGGTATGGCGCCCTCTCTTGCGGTGCCTGGTGGGGGGTTGCAGGGCTACCTTTTCCAGCTGCACGACACTCTTCGGAGCGCAGACCCCGGCAGCGCAGCTCTCCATGGCCACAGCCTGATTCGCTCCGTAGCGGAGTCGTGCGTCCTCAGCAGTGGAGACGACCTCCTGGGTGTGTAAACAGTTTATCAAGCCGTGACCTGAGGTCTCGGTGAGGTACTCCTTTAAAAAAACAGACGGACTTCGGTGCGTGAGCAAATGGATGTAGGGCTTTGGGGCGCACACGCAGGCGATGCGCTTCTCCGCTCTCGGGCGCACGGGGAGCAAACAGCCCGGTGCGTTGCTTGTTCAGCGAGCCTTCCTGCGGAAGGTTGTAGCTGTTCTATCCAGTCGGATGAATGTTTGCTCCGGGTTCAGTTGTCCTTAATTTAGTAAAACAGACGGTGAAACAAAACTGCATACAGGACGGTAGACGCGCGGCCCTGCGTGGTGCAAGTTTCCTCGGATGTAGGTAGAGTTAGAATTGCACGCTCCTGCATTCGCAGACACACGAAACACGGAGTAACTCTGCTTGGTTTCAGCCTTCTGAGTGAATGAGTTGTGCAGGAGGACTGAGTCGTCCTTGTTGTTACCATGCTGTTATTACATCGTTTTGTGAGAGTATTCTTTAAAAAAAAAAAAAAGGACATTTATTTATGTGAAGCTGTTTCTCAGGGCTAAGTTCTTGCAAAGCAATATACAAAAAGCTATAGTAGTCTTGGCATCTTTTGATAAAGCCGCTGGAAACAGCTTTTGGTCTCAGCAGCAACAGCAGGGAAACCCAGTGTAGCCTAAGGGTTAGAACAGTGTGTCTCAATCTGAGCAAGTTTAAGACCCGTGGAGTTCAACTCCCAGAATTCCCCAGCCAGCATGCTGGCTGGGGAATTCTGGGAGTTGAAGTCCATGGGTCTTAAACTTGCTCAGATTGAGAAACACTGGGTTAGAATGTTGGACTGTGTTTGGAAAGATCCCACTTAGCCAACCATGGACTTGACTAGTTGCTTCTCAAGTCTTGCTGTTTCTCAGTCTAATTTGTCTTAGACTTTGTGAGAATGAAATGAGTGGAGGACAAAGTGGAGGAACCCATGTAAGCTGTTTTGGGCTCCAAGTGGAATAGAGGATGGGTTTCATGACTTGCTTGAATTGCGGTGGGGAATGAAGTCGCCGTGGCCTACAGCATTAGGATGACCACCAAGAAGGTTCTGCCTCTTACATGTACCTGGTTTCTAGCCAAGCACCTTAGCCACTACACCGAACTGACTCTACATGATGTATTTGGTTTCTCACATGTTAAGCCATTATGTGATTTTGTTATTGCTGATGTATTAAATCTGTGATCATTAAAATCTCTTTTGTCTTAGGGTATTGTGTGAATCAGGCATTGTAGATTATTCAGTAAACCATGGTTAAAACATAATATACATGTTGCTGAACTATAGCTTTGAACAGGGCCAGTGGCTAATAGTGAGGAAAGCTGAGAAAAGTTACACATATCCCAGTGGTAGCAGATTCCCCACTATTTAGATTAGCATGATGCACAAACCCAAGCAAGGTTTGAAATTAACTTGTATGTTAGACTACATTTAGATTTTACCTGCCTCGGTGAGGGTCAGGAGCATAATCCTGGTTCCCACTATTTCATGGATTTCCTGAATGTGCTATTCTTTGTTCTGTGCATAGGGATAGTATTATATTGTGTAACCCTGTATTTGGAAATAAATCATTAATTTAATTAAATATTAATCTGTATTTGTGTTTCCATCAGCCTTGCAGATTTCACTGGTGTTTTCTAAAGAAAACGGACTATTATCATTTATCCATAAGTCGCTGGGTGTTGAGGAGGTAAGTTGAAAATCTAGATGAAACTGGTTTGTAAATAGTATAGCCTTGCTGAGTAAAATTACTTGTAGACAAATCAATTACATTTTGTTATGTTGGAAGCAATTTGAATTGCTGCTTCAATGTTGTTTGTGACCAGCAAGTAGGTGTTCTGGGTCCATAACTTTTATATGTTCATTTCATAAGGCTGATTTGAAGCCTTATTTTGTCTGCATATATAATTAATTCAAGATTATTTCTTTTTAGTTTAGAGAATGCAGAGAAGAAGCATTAAAATTTATTCTTGCCTTTATGGAAAAGATTGGCCCCAAAGTTCAGCCTTATGCACAAGATATAAAGGTGGGTCAGAGAAAATTATTTTACATTTTTTATGTTAAACTAGATGGTTTTGCTGAGCAAAATAGAATTAATGTTAGAATTAAAATACTAATGGTAATTTTACAAGCTAATTGTTTTCATGCAATCCTTAAAGGAATTATTTGTTCAACTGTAACCCTCAAGCATGATATATTACTTATCTGTGCTTCACAAGAAATGTTTAAAGTGTCCCAAATGAGAAATGTTACATCTTCCCAACAGACAAGATGTGAAAATTGTATTTTGGATGGGGGTAGGGAAAACGGGAAACATGACTTGTATTTCATCTTCATTTCATAATTTATCTTCAGAATGCTCCCATTTAGTATAAGAGTGTGCAACATACGGGTCCTTTTGGATCTAAACAATTAACTTTGATGGCAACCCTCCACTCTCAATCCAGAAATTGTACACAGTTCTAATACAGACCATTGTTAATGTTTCCAGATTTTGTTTAAATGGCTTAGTACTAAAAGAGGTCCTTCTGATCCATCAGAATTTCCTAATGGTAGGACTGAGGACAAGGTAATCTTTGCTTATTTTCCCTTCCCCAGCATCTGAAAACTCTGCTGTAGAGAATTGAAAGTTCCTCCAAAATAGTATAACGTGTATCTATCGACTTCATATTTGCTTGTTTTTACCATTGGGATGTTCTGAATGGATGTCTGTTTAGGAACACTGCCCGCTGTTGAAAGAGAAGATTTAATTTAGTCCAAAATACATAGGAAAGACATCTCTAGAGTCTAGCTTTTGATTAATGCAGCTGAGGGAAGTGAAATATTCTAATCTTCAAGATTATTGTTATGTCGGTAAACAAATTTGCATTGATTTATTTGGTCAGTTTAATATTTTTTTATAACGTAAAATAATGAACAATTGCCTCACTAATCTCATATGTAAGCTATAGGACTTTGGTTGCAGTGTATCATTATTATATTTTTGTTTTTTAAAAAAATAGCGGATGTGTGTTATTGTTTATACAAAAGACAGATCAGCAAAATGTGGAATTCCAGCTCTAGAGCTACTGATCAAGGTAAAATTGATGGCATTATTTTATACTTTGCTGTACTTTAAATTATTTACTGTTCTAACACTTGGCATGTTGAATATCTTTATAGCTGCTTCAAAATGTACAAGCGTCGCATGCAATGGAAGACATAAAAGTTGGAGAAATCTTTAACAAATTTTATGGAGAAATTGCTATAAAAAGCAAAGTGCCTGATACAGGTAATATCTAACGTGCCTGTCAGTAACTAAGAATAAAAATTATTTAGCAAGTATCCTAAATTATTACAGCAGTGTCCAAAACTATAAACAGATTGAGGTATATCATGACAAAAGTTTCTATTAAGCCTCTGATAAGTCCCAGTAGAAACACACTCATCTATAGGACTTAGGTGTAAGTAGTGTTGAGAGCAAGGGATGAGGGTAATTTATGTTCCATTGATTTCATACAAATTTAATCCTGATTAATTGCTGGTTCTTCAAATTTGTGCATAACTTAACGGTATTAAAAAAAAACATTCCAGACATCAAGATTTGTTCCCTAAGTGCTGCAAAATTGAGACCATCCTGAAGAACATTGCGTGATAATAGGTTGCAACTTTTCCTTCCCAAGAAAAAATGCAGTGGGATGAAGAAGAATATTCTGTTGGTTTCTGGCTTGATCAGGGAAGAAGTAGCCCTTTCATTTGGTCTCTTTCTTCCTTGAGTCATTAGAAAGTAATTGCTGAAAGCCTGAGCAATAGGTACTGTCTCATGGCAAACTCTTTCCTTTTATCAGGTTTATTTGTGATTTGCCTAGCAACCAAGATCAATTCAGAAAGCTGTGGGGTGGGATTTGGATAGGCCTCCAATATATACGTTTGCTGAAATTACGTATTTCAAAACCAGGCGGCTACTTGGACTTTTCTGAGAAGTAATTGCAGGTGTGCACTTCTAGGTTTTGTTTTTTTAACCCAGTTTTAAAGGTCTTATAACTAATTGAGAGGTGTTTTATGAGCAACTGGGCATAGATACAGTGAGATTGGTACCCATCAGGAGAATGTATGTGAACTCCCATAAGAACTTGGAAATCTTTAGGTGGCTTTGAATTAAATCCTTCTATGCTTGAAAGTTTGGGGTAGTTGACATCAAATAAAATATATTCAGGTGGTTGAGATGCTAAACGTGACCTTTTTTTTTTTAAGTGTTGGAAAGGATTTATGAGCTCTTGGGAGTCTTGGGAGAAGTCCAACCTAGTGAAATGCTTGACAATGCTGAAAAACTATTCCGTGCTTATCTGGGAGAATTAAAAATACAGGTAAAGAATAGCCTTTTGCATTTGATATGGAAGGCTGAGATTGATTTCTTAAATAAAAGTGTTGATAATGAAGACTCTTAATACCTAAAATATTAATATTTGTATTATAATATAGGTAGTCCTCGCTTAACAACCATTCATTTAGCAACTGTTCAAAGTTAAGACAGGACTAAAAGCTATTTACGACTGGTCCTCACACTTACAACCATTTCAATGCCCCTGTAGTCACGTGATTGCTATTCAGGCACTTGGAAACCAGCTCTCACAACAGTTGTAGCATCCTGGGGGTCATGTGATCACCATAAGTGAACTTCCCAGCCAGCTTCTGGCAAGCAAAATCAATGGGGAACTGCGGTGATTCGTTTAACAACTACTGCAAAAAATGTTGTAAAATCAGGTGTGGTCATGTGATGCCTTGTCTAACGATGAATTTTCTGGTCCCTACTATGCTGTTAAGCGAGGACTACCTTTATAAGCTTTAATGGGCTATTCCACTTCATTGTACCAAATTTAATAAAGTAGATGTTTTTCTGTGAGTGCTTTTGGTATATATGTACCAAATTTACCAAATATGTACCAAATTTAATAAAGTAGATGTTTTTCTGTGAATACTTTTGGTATATATGTAGTAGTCTGCAGGTTTCCAGACTGATCCAATTATTCAGTATTTCTGGAAGCTTATTCAGTGAGGTCATCACAGTGTTTTACTTTTGAATATGTACATTTTCTTTTCTAAATTGCAGTGTGTGAATAAATAGGAATTGGCAGAAGTAAGTTATAGTTAATGCAAATTGAATTAGTGAGAGACTTGCTATGTTTTTGTAAACACATTTAGTATTTTTTAAAATAATGATTCAGAAATCTATATATTGCTTTGGATTACATTTTTCCATATAGTGAAGAGGAAAATAATTGGTATAGCTGCTTTTAAAATATACATAGGTGATTAGGAAGCTAAATATTTTTTAAAATGTGTTCGAATTGATATGTAGCTCCTAGGAATCCAGTGAAGTTCACCCTATCTTTACTTGTAACCTATGTTTATTTATATTTTTCTGTTGCTTATATAGCATTGTTCTTACACATATAATTAAAACTTGTATGTGTTCTAAACTCTTACTTTCACAAATATGAAATAAAACAACTGATCTATGTATGCAGTATATCAGAGTGATGAATGTTTCCCTTATTGCAATAGAAAATAGCTTGCTTCTAACAAGGGCAGATTTTCCAAGCCTTTCTTTTGCCAATGGTTATTAATTCATAATAGGTTATTTAATATTTATAATGGTGCCAATTTGCCAAGATTTATTAGTAAGTAGATTCCTTTAAAGGCAGCTGATAAGAACTTGGTTAGTGCTGTCACAACCCTGTGTGATTTACTGGTAATTGATGTGTCAATACTTTCTGGATTAATCATCCTATTTTAAACAATAGTGATGAAATGATTCTTTGTAACCTGTAATACATCAGAAATACCAGATTTATTTCATAATCTGAGCATAAATACATTGATAAAATGTTGCCTTTTATTACTATTGTTACTTTAGATCTTCTCTGCTATTGTGTTAATGTAATTAGTTATTTTCTCATTTTCAGATGACCTCTGCAACAAGACAACCTAAGTTCCCTATTGTAGGAGGGTGTCTGAAAGGACTGACTGCTCTTATGCATAACTTTACCAAATCCATGGATGAAGGTATAATCTTTATTTTATTAAAATAACCCAATAACAAAATATCATTTTTTCCTCAAACTGTATAGAGTTTCCACTCATAAAAATGGCTAAATCTCTTAAGGGTGGAGGCACAGAAACCCTTTCAAGGCTGAAAAGTTCATGCCCCAAGTCATCCTATTTCAGTCTGATTTTACTGTTGGAATAATTTGTTTCAAGATCATACAATATCAGTAATTTGTTTCAGTAAAGTTGGAACAGCCAAATTTGTGGTAAAAAAATTTCCATGTTGAACATTTTGCACACCTCTACTTAAGACTGAAAAGCCTTACTGACAGCTTATAAACTATGGAAACTTTCTATGTATTACTTTCTTGCTTTATTCAATACTGAAAACGATTTACCAGTTTGAGAAGCATTGATATGTTATCTGAGTGATCCAAATTTTGTTTTGGAAAGAATACGCTAACATATAAAACAAACTTACGGATACTTTCCTAGATTTATTAATATATAAAAGGAACCTACAAATATTTAGAAATCATCAAAGGAGATTTTGTAACTTCCTTGATCTTGGTAATTTATTTCACTGGAATATTTTAACCTTAATTCACCTTGTTTAATCTGTTGTAATGTAGATGTATACCTGGCTTTTATCCTTTTCTCTAAAATTATTTTTACATTCTTAAAAAATGTCTGCATATCAGTTCCCTCTCCAAATAGTTATCTCAGGATCTTAAAATAGGTTAAGGTACATTTAATAATGTTTGGATTTCTTTGAAGGTTTTGTAAAATTGGGATGTGCAAGAGTAGAGTAGAACAAATTATGTTCTAAATTAAAACTTGCAGTTCTGTATAGTTCATTGTGATAATTTTATAGGCTTTATTATGCATCTACTTGGAGATTTCCTGTGCTTTCTCACAACATTAATTCTGTAGTAGTTTTTCAAAGTAGAATGTGGCTGCACTGGTTCTCCTTCTCTTAAACTACCATCCTATACCTCTCAAGTATTAATTAGCCCTGTTGAACCTATTGTAACTTCTTACTAGCCACTCTAGGATTCTGATGTTAATATAAAACAGGTAGTCCTCGGTTAGCAACCATTCATTCAACAACCATTCAAAGTTACAGCGGTGCTAAACGAATGGTACTTGTGCCCAGTCCCCGAAGTTACGGCCGTTGCACCGTCCCCGTGGTCACGTGATCAAAATTCGGGCACTTGGCAAGTTCACGAGAAGGCAGTGTGTGATTTGGAGAGGGGTGGGCATGGCCTCATGAGCTTTCAGAAGCCCTCAGAAGCCTTCCGAAGCATCATGCAATTTGGAGAGAAGCGCACGTGGCCTCAGGAAGAAGGCCTGGTGCAGCCAGCAGCTGCCTTGCATAAGCCAAGGCCGGGTGCACATCGTCAGCAGTAGGAGTGCAGTAGTCAGACAGGTAGTGCTGGGGTGCCTGGCTGCAGTAGGGCTTGAGGCAGCACTCCTCAGAGGCGGTGACAGTGACAGCAGTGCTGGGGCTGAAGTAGAGGTCCTGTCAGAGTCTGCACACTCAATCCCAAAGTTCAGTAAATCCTCTGGAGACCACAAGATCCATCAGAGATTTCTTTATTC